TCGGCCCGCGTCTTGTAAATTCGGTGCTTACCACCGATCGATGTAGCAGATTCGAATCGGAGTGTTCGGCCTCGGACACGAATTTCTCTCGACGATACTGGAAACCTTCTGTTTCTGTTCGAATGTTGTAAATTTTCTGCTTTAATAACAAAATATTAATTCTCCAATTATTAAGTTCTATTGTTTCCTTGAATTGATGGAAGAATATGGGAAGAATAACTTTTCCTACGATTTTGTTTCACCGAGCGTGGAATTGAATTTTATAATTTCAGAATGTTTAATTCAGTATACGTGCACTGTTACGTTTAAGTAAATAAATTGTATCGCATTAATTGCGTACGGTAGGTATACCTTTGCGATTTTCAGAAGAAGAAGAATCAGAACATGTAAATTTTCTATCTCGTTGAATTCTCTCCTTCAGTGACAAAAGAATTCTCCAATTATTAAATCCTGCTGTTAAGGAGTTGCTTGAATTAGCAACTTCTTTTTCTATGATTTTTATTTTTACCGAGCGTGTAATTAAATTTTACAATTTCAATTTACAACATTTATAATTCAGCATATATAATACTGTGTATAATGTTGTAAGTAAATAAGTTGCATTAATTACATTTGGCATGTCTCTGCAATTTCCACTCGGAACATGTAAATTTTCTTGTTCAGTAACAAAGTAATTCTCCAGTAATTACTAACTTCTGCTGTTAAAAAATTTTTCAAATCGACACAAGAATATAGAATTTTATACAATTTTTCTCTCAATATCATTTTTCTCAAAATCTCTGATTCAAAGTTACTGCAGGAACTCAATCATAAGTGGAACTACCCTTTATAATTACATCTTTCCTTAAAAAAAAAAAAAAAAAAAAAAAAGAGAAGGAAAGGATCACGACACAGTGAAAAACTCTGAGGTTTTTCAGCAGGAACCTACTCCGAAATCTCGGTGGTATAAGCCAAACCCACGGCCAGCCACGTAGGCCTCCGTAGGTGGTGCAAAAGTTGATAAGTGAGCGAAACGAAACGAGGGTGGTGCGATACAGGCACCTCTCGGAGATCCTGCTGGTAGATAGAGCGGTTCGTAATAACGCGCAAGCCGCGCCACTACCTGGTGGCAGGTTGTTATTGCTGCTTATTATTTATCCATCGTGGGCGGCTTGAAACGTGTGGTTCGTGGTCTGTTTACACGATAGGGATAGCAAAGGGACGGCGAGGGAAGAGCGCTCGAAACGCCAGCGAAACGTTGGAACTTTAATTATTATCCTCGTCGGGTGAGAGGACAGCTCGAACGATCGATGATTCGACTAACGTCGACTTTGACCACTACCAGCCGCGTTCAGTTTGACGCGATAAAGAAAAGGGACACGTGACCTACCGATATTAGACGCACGTACTGGGTGTACCGCGAGGAAATAATTTTAATTTTACAATTTGATCTGGTAGATCAAAATTTCGCCTGGAAAGATTACGAATACGAAAAGTACGAAGTAACTCGGAGTACACTGCGTGCTTTGCAGTTTAATTTTCCAGGGGGGTAAATTCAGTTTCAATTAGATTAGGTAGGTATATGGAAGAGAGGAATTGTTTGTCTTCCTGTGTATGCTTCAGTCTTTTTAGGAGGAAAGTGTTCATTTTTTTAAATATGCTTTCGACCGGATTTAACGTGTGTATAAGTTACTTACTCACGTATGTAAATTGTAAATAATTCGTACTTAACAATCCGACAAGTTCAAAAAAAAAAAAAAAAAGAAAAGAAAAAGGAAAGAAAGTTGAAGTCAATCGACTTGATTTCCGAGAAGCTCGTGCGATTCTTCACGATTCACGCTATCTATCAAACGCAAAAAATTCGATTCTCTCGCAGAGCACCCTGTATATGAACAAGCTGTACGTATGTATGTACAAGTGGTCGTTGATGACAAAGAATTTTTCCTGTAATCGATAACCAGACCTGTTCGCTTCCGCGAGCGTCGTGGCAACGCGTGTTTTGAATTCACGCGTCAACGTCGGTCCCAACCCCTTTCGCGCACTTCTGCCGTACGAAACGAACGTGTGACGAATCGCGTGTCGAGTGGGTGTGCCCTGAATGATTCTGATGTGAGTTTGATTGATGGCGCGGAGGGATTGATTCTCCCGGAGCGTTGGATTCCTCCTGTTAATATTTCAGATATCGTCGACTGGTTGCTGCGAATGGGAGAAACACGCTTTGAGAAAGAAAGAGCATCGCAAGCGGCGAGATGGTTGTCGAAACAGGTTGCCAGAGATATTGCAGAAGATGGTTTATAATGATAGTGGTTTGGATTAGGCACGATGGATTAATCGAGGATGATTGCAACATTGTTGGCAGAATACGTTCTCTTCGCCAATGTAATCCCTTTCGTAAATCTTCGACGATTAACGTCCGACTCAATATGCTTGAAATTATTTTTGAAATATATGGTTATGTATTTTCATATATTTTATAGCTTTTTTTCTCTCCTGGCAGAGAATTATTGGAAAAGTCCCTTTCTTTTCGACGGAGAAGTAAAACGTTTATTCGTATCACTGGAGCGATCCAAATGTTTTCAAGAGTGTCGAATCATTGAAAATTCTAGTCGCCTCAAACTCAAAGTTTGGCATCGGACTGTCAAAGTGGGACAATGGTTCTCATAATCTACAGCAAAGGGTTCAATGAACGAACCTTGTCTGTATCTAGCAAGGCTAAGGAAAAAGAAGAATGCAACAAGAGGCTCTGACTTGATAAATTCCCATTTCTATCAATATTTCTTGCAAAACTCATTATACCTGCCCTACATACCTGCTAGAAAAGGCTAGAACACTGGAAAATTAAATTCCGTTGCCTTAAATGGTTACCAAACCCGTAGACGTTCACTCAAGAAGTCATAGAGTCAGACTTCGTGCAACTTTCTTAATCGAAAGCCTACTTTTTCTTTTCTTTCAAGTCGCGTGCTCGCTACGTTTCGGTTGAAAGTATCGTCGCCTTCAGAGCGTGCAGAGATTTCAAACATCGACTATTCCGTAGTCGAGCACTTTGGCTCGTCTCAATTTCCCACGAGACTCATCTTCACTCAGTCAGTTTTTGAAAAGTAAAAAGCGAGAATTATAACCGAAAAACCGGTCGAGTCTATCATCCTAATTTTCATTTGCATGAACGCGGTTACCGGGAGAAAGCTGCGAGAAGAAGGCGGAGGAGGAAGTCTCGAGTAACCTCGTCAAATCGGTTTAACCACTTACGCTGACAACCGATTGCGGACCATAACGAATGACCAAAACGTGTACAACAATTCGTCGCTATCTTTTCGAACTCGTCGGTATGATATCACTGGATTTTATAGAAACTATTGAGAAGTACTAAATTTGTTATTTGCTTTTCCTGAGTTCTACTCGAATATACTTAAAACTGAGAAGATATCGAGCAAAAAGATTCTCGACTTTCGTGGCACGTTGTGCGATTCTGCGGGTTGCAACAGCGGCGAAGGTGACTCGCAGCGTGAAAAACGGGAAAATTCCGGCACGACGATGCTCCAGTAAGCTTGATTTCAAGACCAGCCGCGCCAGCATGCGATTTTCGCTCGGTGGCGTTCGGTCGAATACTCGCGGGCGCATCGGTCGACGCTAATGATCCGTATCGGTGATCCCGTTAGCGTTGCCACCTCCGGACCATCTCTGCTTCCGCCTCTAACCGTCCACGTATATCCTTTCCATGCATTCTATTCCATGCACACCAGCCTGTGTGCCTCTCTGGAGCATCCTCGAAACGTTTCTCCAATTCTCTACGTTACATTACATTCTTCCACGTGGGCATTATATCCTTGCGCGCACGTGGCTATTCACGGCGTTAATGAAGATTAAATTTTAGATGAGGCAGATGGTACAATGTCTTTTGAATTTCTTTTTATTCGGACAATGTTCGCAAGATTCGGTTCGAAGCTTGAAGCTATGTATATATGAAAAGATGAAACGTCTTATTTGACAAATATCATTTAATCAGGGGCTATTTAATACTGGAACTACGAAAATGGTCAGAATGACCAATTTGTAATTTTTGTTGGATGTTTTGCAGATGTATATTTTTAGAGATTCGAATGATTTTAATGTGTATAAATAAATATTGTGTTATAAAATTTTTTATTTATTTTTTTTTCTTTACTTCAACATCTCTCAGAAATTTTACATTTCGCTGGTAGTTTTAAAGTTAAAAAACCGCGTTGAATATCACGACAATGCTGTCTTATTTTTCATCCATTACGTGTCAAATATTATTGTTGCTTTTTCATTTTCAAAATTGTTGGCAACAATATTTCCACTATACGGAAGTATCTGTAAATAAAAAAACAGATAAAATAAAAACTGTTTATTTATACGCTTGGTTTAGGTTTCATTGAAAAACAAATAATTAATCGATATATCGCTAGGATCGAAACTCATCGAGCGTAAAATAAAATTTTTTCTTATTTCTACATTTAAAATTTTTTCTTACTACACACATACACATACTGTCTTCTTTGCACCTCTATATTTTCCTCCAATCGCGTACAAATTCTCAGCTTCCCGCTAATTGCCACCGAATGTAACGAAGAGAAAATTCTCCTATATTTTCACCTCGATGAGTTTAGATCCGAACGATTCTTCGATGTTGCAACAGCGGGGTGCGCCCAGGAAGCGATGTTTCTTCCTTTGCGAAATTTCGCGTGAAAGTCTCGCGAGATTATTCCTCGCTGATTCACTTTCGAAGGCGAACGAATTTCCTTTCCAAGAAAATTCCATGAAATAACCCCGAGATGTAACGACAGCCTCTCGGCTGATTGTCGTTGCGAAACGAGCAGCGTTTCGTCAGACGCAAGTTGGGCCAGAAACGTGGAAAACCCGAGCCGCGGTGCGCATCATTTCAATATAATAAGCGGATCGTGCGTCAGATGAGGGGCAAGGCCAACGCTGGTAGATGGTTCCCCAGCGATTAAGCGAAAAGCCAGTCTTGTAATTCCACGGTATCTCTCTGTGATTGAACGCGAAATGATAAACGGCCAGACGAAACTCTCGTGCAAGAAAGGATCTAATCTATAATGTAACGCAATCGTTGACGCGCTGTGCCACGTTGAAGGTTCCCGATCGCGGCATCTTGACATTTTAGTGTCGTTAAAACTGCGAAACTCGACTGGGGCAGCTATGAACTTGTGACAGTGTCAAACAATCTTTATTTCAAAAAGATATGAGACGGTAAATGGAAAGACAATGCTGAATACGATATTACGAGTCGTTTGTGAAAACCATGTGACGTTACAAAAATCTGTAATATCAGAGCGAAACGAGAAAATTCTGTTCCATTGAATTGAATAAATTTAAATAAATTACAAAGTGAAATTGGAAAATATAAAATAATGAAAACAAAGACAAACGCTGAACACATTGTTGGGAATCGTTTGTGAAAACTACGTTTCTGACGTGACGTTTCAAACATCTGTAATATACCGCAGTAATCAATTTCGGTGACTGGACGACCGAAAAATAAAACGAGAAAGTCTTGTTCTATTAAATTAAAACGTGCGCGCGCGTTTACCATCGGTTACCATTGTACTCGTTGCGAGGGAAAAGGCGAGCGGCGAGATATTTTAAAAATTTAACGACGCTGTAAACGCGCTAAGAGTATGCTAAAGATATCTCGATCTGAGGCGCTGTCGTAAATCATGAAAATACTAAAACTGAAGGATTTATGCCGTCTAATAAATATAACAGTAACAAGTGCCAGCAAGTGTAACATAAATAAGTAGATAACACTATACGTAATGAAGCACAATACATATTTGTATTATATCAGGGCTACCCATATAAGTAATATCGTTTTTTGATGCAAAATTTTATTCTATTTAAGAATTAATACAGTTTTAATCTATAATGTAATTTAACAATAAGTATACTAGATGCCAATGTATTTAACTATATATGTTATGTTGAATAACTATATAGATTGTGTTATAATAAGTTAAATTATTGTCACTAGATGGCAATGTTTATTAAATTTGAAGAAATTATTACGGGTAACGTAGATATGTTCATAATTGCCATTTCCCTCAATGTCACAACAATAATAAATGCTAGCAAATATAACGTAACAAGGTAGACAACACAATAAAATGAAGGGTAAGTAACGTAGCGCAATATTAGCATAATATCTTGTAAAATCCGTCTCACAGACAAAACGTAGATACGAATGATAGTTCAACGTATTAACCGAAGCCTCAAATCTCACAATTGCCATTTCTCATTTTTCAATGTCACAACTTACTTTGTTAGTCCTTCTCAATGTCTTCTTCAAACTCTCTGATAGAACTCCACTTTTTTTTTTTCCTTTTTTTCTCTAGAGTCGCCAATGTGGAGTTCCCACAATCGCGCGACTGTTCGTGTGTTTCTTCCCGCCTCTGAACATCCTCCTCCTCCTCCTCTTCTTCGCCTCCCCCCTCCCTGCTTCACCCCAATCGATTTCAACGCAATTAAAATAATTCAGCGGAACGATCGGACAATGGCAGGCCGGTGATGGCAACCGCCGCGGTTCGAACGTCACCGGCGAGATTAATTACGAATAATTACCGAATAATCTCTCTGTCGGCGGTATCGTTAAGGTCGATGCGCGTACGAGAAGTTCCAGGCGCGTCGTCCATTGTTCCCCGCGCGCGAGACGCGCATTGTGTTGTTGCGGCAATCTTCGTCTAATTGCATCAAGCGCGGTTTCCCCCCGTTCCAGGCTCGAGATGCAACGAGATGAAACGAGACGGGAGATCGAAACGAACGAAGGATCAAAAGGTAGGGAAGATAGGGAAGAGAAAGAAGAAGGAAGTCGATCCGCTGGCGTGCTTGGCACGCAACGTTTAGAGACGTTTAATTGCACCTGGAAGCATCGGGGGATTGTTCTCTCTCTCTCTCTCTCTCTCTTTCTTTTTTTTTCTCGTTGATTCGTATGATTCACGGCCACTCGTCCGGCGAACGATGTGTACAAAACTCGCGCGTTGTTCCATTTAACCACTTAACCGTTTCACCCCTCGACTTTTTTCCGACGCGACACTATGTTTCTTACGACTCGTTTTGTACCGCGTTTCCCTCGAAGAATTCGAACTCGAGTGTTCGTAAAAATTGCAACAATTCCCGCGCGATCGAATGTGCACGAACGTGTTAATAACGATAAACAATTACAATTACAGTCGTGTAAAATGGATTCATTGATGGATCGTTAACTCGATTCCCCGCTTATTTGAACATGCAAATTATCTGTTTGCAAACGTATTTAAACATTCAAATTCGACTGCCGAATATTCAAATTGAACTGAAACACGAGGTGTAATTACGGTGACTATGGATGGATAATTGCGTGTTTGTAAAAAGCAAGGGAAATGATGTTCTGCGAAATTGGAATTAATTTTGATTTCCTTTCTTCTCCTTTTTTCTTTCGTTTACTTTTGTTAATCGCGTACGATTAAGAATGTTGTGTTGTAGTGACACGTATATTGTTAAAATCGACTATTTTAGAGTAATCCTATGGTTGACATATGTTTTTTACAACCGAAATTGAAAGAAATTGTTAAATTTCGATTCGAAAATTTGATTTCCCTTTAACATTGATACTTGGGGAATGGAGATTACTCTATTCCCAGAACAATGTCTATTATAGTTGGTTTAGTTTATTTTTCGAACGTTATGTTGTTAGAACTGAATCGTGTGAATCTGTTAATAATTAGAAGACGATTCTCACTCGTGACAACATTTCTGTTACGATGGAACATTTCGTTTCTACATAAGATTACGTAATTGTCATTGTAATCACATACAATGAGAAGCTAAAGGGCAGTAAATTTGATTTTGCGTTTGACACTTTTCAGACACTTGCGGAGAAATGGGACTGGCGGAGAGAGAGGCCGAAATGCAGGAGCTAGAAACCTCAAGACCCGGTCGATCGCGAGACCTGTTCGGTGTGCAGCTCGAGGTAAACATTATCTCCCATTATCCCTTATTTTACTGTCAAGGAAATGATGAAATCATTGGCGCGGGTTACGCTCGACAAGATTATTTAGAGACAGGTGTTCTAGCAAGGGCATCGAACTCCGACGTTCGACGTTCGGTATCCTTGTCGAGGCCAGAGACGAATTCGACCCGGAATCGATAGGCCACCATTCACCGTGCAAGGTGGTACTTTGCAAATTCAATAGTCACTTTTGCCGAGAGCGCGAGCACGGGCCAGTGAGAGGCACGACCCAGAAAACGCGCCAGTACTAGAACAAATGGCCACTTGAAACCGAAACAGCCAAAGAAAGTCCGTTGCACTCTCTTTTTTCGCCGATCGATCGATCGATTCGTTGATCTTGCCTCTCTGTCTCTCACTGATTCCTCCACGAATCTGGATTAACTCTTCCAAAAATTTTTCCTCGTCTTTTCGTGGATTCGAGTTTTATTGAAATTATTAAAAATATTATTGAAGAACGATTAATCGTGAAATTTGTTCACAGAACAATGTGGATTCAATCCAATTTCAAAATTTACATTACCATTTTCTATACCTTTTTTTTTTTTTTAAATCAGATTATTATTTTCAATTTTCGACATTGAAATAACGGACTTGATTAATTCCTTTAATTTTTTTATTTAAAATATATAAATTTTTATTATATATTAAGCATAATTTTATTATTTATATTTATAATATTATTTACATTAATTATTGAACGAATAATTGGATATTTATATTGAATACTTTAATTTAAATAAGAATCACAATGACTTATTTTCAAGTCGAAATTAAATGTAAAAACTACTTTATATTTATTATAAATTAAAACCAAGAAGAGGCATTTTATTGTTAACAAAATTATTGAATAAAATTCTAATTTAACCAGAAATAAAAAATTAAAGCTTCATTTCTAAATATATAGTTTATTTATCATTCATTTATCACTCACACCGGTGAGTAACTATAACAAAGTCAGAAATTCCTTTCCATTCTCATTATTATTTGTTATTTGTTCGCAACAAATTTATACGAAAGTGTTGGAAAATGGAGGGAAAATAGCGAAGCAACACGAAAGAAAAAAAAAATGGCTAAAGAGGATTTTAACGACTCGCGTGAAGAATTTTGTGAAGCGAGATGAAACTTTCCCCGGCACACATCTTTCACCATAAACCTGCAACGTCAACCGACAGCGTAATTTTCTCCCCAGGCATCCTCTTGCTTTCCTAATTCGAATTTATTCGTTTTATTGACATTATTTTCTGACTCATCGTACTCCACTGGCTTAATTAACGGAGAAAGGTAGCGAGCGCGTTTTCACTTCCGGTTTCTTGCGATCGATTTTCATCGGAGGCGATCGATTGTCCATTTTAGAAAGGCATCACCTTTCTCCTCCGTCTCGATCCGATCGAGAAAAAAAGACGTCGAAAATTGGAAAGCACCGCGCTCAGGTCGCGTAAAATCAGCGCGACGTAGACACGATTCCTCGAGTACCTGTAATCGATTTTCATCCGGTCCCATTGCCAGTCTTTGCGTCAACGATTTACAACGTCATTTGCCGTGTCACGCTTCAACGCACGAAAAAATCGTTTCCACAATCGTTTCACCTTTCATCGCGGTTGCGTAACTCTGTCGTCGAATTTATTTCCTACCGTTCGATCTTTTCATTTTCCAATTGAACAATGCTGCGGTTACTTGGGAAAACAAGCGTCTTGGTTCTTCAGGTTTTTCTAAATTTATTGGTAAATTCTTCCTCTTTAAAACAAGAGATTTTCATCGCTTTTCGCTCCTTTTTTTCCTTGATCCATCGCAGCAAAGTAATATTTCTACGTAATTTCTAGTAATTTAGAATCGCCATCGCCGTGAATTTTCGAGTCTGATACGATCGTTGTTGATTGTGGACGTCCGTTAGATCGTGGGGAATTTATTCGTCTAACTTTTCGTTTACGCCGCGGCTTCAGGTAACGGGAAACTAGTGCAAACGCATTTGCATACCTAATCTACATGCAAGGCTTCATACGTATATCAAATTAAATTAGTCTTCAAGTGATCGTTATCGATAATTTCTCTTGGTCGAGCACATGGTTTATTTTCAACAATCGTACTGGCTAAATTATTCGCATTAACAACGAGCTTCGCCTATCATCTCGTCATCTTCTTTATAAAGCTGCGAGTAAATTTTACTGCAATCTGTGTCGCGTCATTTCAAAGTTTGTGATTCTCGGTTTTTTTAACGCTGTTGAAATAAACTGCAAGCAAGGAGTATTTTCAATGTAACAAACGGAAGAAATGAAAATACTTTTGTTTACTAACGTACGAAGTCTGCTTGTTACTGTGAAAATTTCATTTGACTCGGGGAAACGTCAGATTTCAGTCAGATTTCGCAATTTTCTGAGACTTACGAAGACCGTCGAACGAAATTTTCGTATTTTAGTAAAAAAAAAATATTTTCTTGGTTCGTTGCATTTAAAAAGAATTGCCCGCAGCTGGCTCTCGAAAATTTACCCCTCGCTAACGTCGCAATTTATATTTCCCGCGAATCTCTTTCCGAGTCATCAATCAAACGACGGATTGGGAAAGAAGAAGCTCGAGACATTCCACGCCGGCTGGCGTTTCACCTTTCCGTGGACCGCGATTAATCGATAGCTGTCGGTGGAGCGCGATTTCAGAGCTTGGCGAAATGACGTTTAATCGAAAAAGCAGCGGTACGACTGGTGTCGCAATCTCTTTGGCCGGTGCATGGTGCATCGGTCGCACCGTCATCCGGTCACGCTTCCACGAGTCCAGTACCGTTTTCACTTTTACACTAAACGCCGCGTATCATCATAAACGCCGCGACGAAAATTACGCGCCACCGTCACGATCAACTTGCAACACCGTTTTCCCAACTGCGTCGCTGACTCTGTTTTGTTCAAGAGAAGCTTCTTGCCTGTTGGAACAGGGAAGCATAATCAATTGATTTTTAAATGAAATCTGGAGTGAAAGGATTAATGAAATATATACTGTCTTATACGTAAATTATAAATTTAAAGTGTTAAAATTTTTTTATGGAACGATAAGACTCTACAGAATTTTATATTAATTTATTTTTGTATTTAATATGAAATTAAAATCAATATTCAATTGGGAGAATTATTAAATTCAATGGATTTTAATTTTTTTGAAACTTAAATTAAAGAAAATATTTTGATCTTTAATTTGAAATTGATACGAACGTCTTCCCTACCTGGAAATAACGAAATGATTTCTAGCAAACTTTGTGTTTCAAGTTAGTGTTCTTTTAATTCTTTTTTTTTTCTTATATTCGTTATTCGAAACTGCATAAACCGTTTGTGTGGATTACTAGCGACTCGAAGCTAAGTATTACGATTTATCATAGTTGTCTTGTGATTAAATCGAAATTTTTAGGGTGTAAATCACCTAGTTACTTTTTGTCAAATATTTCATTATTTGGATAATTCATGGTTCAGGTATGTTGCTCAAATAAATTTTTGTTTCGGAGGGAAAATAATACAATTCTGGTAAAAGGGGAATAATGTATGGCAACATGGATCCGTGGTTCAAGAAGGGCTAGCAAGATTGAGCGAAGTTGTTATCTTGATTTCAGAAGGCTAGTGTTTGTACTACGAATTATGTAAATTAACGTAGATAATACAACATATACGTGTATACGTGTTATTTCAGCAGTGCCTAGTATTACGGTGTAAAAGAATAAGATTAAGTTTGGTTAATTATCTTTTGTAGATCTTTTCTTAAATAAACTATCCTAATTATCCGCTATCTTCATCTGAAGAAATTGTATACTGAAATAAGCTGATATCTGTAATTATATTTAAGTATTTAATTAATGTTAATCACGTGTTAGTCGCTAATTCTAACATCTTTATTACTACAAATATTTTTTAATCACTGAAAATACTTACTCTGTTAAGTACTTTAATTTCAGTTTTATCAGATTTAACGTACAAAAACTAAGAGAAACATATAAATTTAGGTAAGATCTCGTCTCTAGGTAATTTCATTAAATCAAAGTTAAAATAATTATTTCCTAAATATGGAGTATTTTCAGACACAAGGGAATCACAAATAAATTCATTCAAATGCCACAAACTGTATACAGCGATTAATATTAGGACACTAAAGATTGAAGTTCTTATAATTTAAAAAATAAAATCACATCTTAAAGCTTGTAGCCTCCACTATCAAATACATCTAAACACTTAACCAGCTAGAGCAAATTTTAAGTATTTCGGACACATCGGTGTGTTTCAAGTATATATTTCGGCAAATTTTGATGTATTTCAGAAGCTGCACTTTTTCTAGAGAAACCAGTGTATTTCTCGTTAAAAAAAAAAAACATAATTTCTTAACGAAATTCTCAGAGAATGTCAAGAAAGCATTTATTTAAGAAATTTAACCGCCGGCCGGTTACCGCTAGTCGGTAAGAGACGAAACACATTAATGTACTGCCAACGGGTTTAAGCGTTGAAATAACATAGGGGTTTCAACCCTCAAAATTTCTCGTACGAAATTACAATGGTTTCGAGCGTTATATCCAGCGTTAACCGGGACTGCAATTCCACGCTAAACGAGCCAGAAAGAAGAAACATCTGGAAAATCAAGAAGCCTGGCCGCGCAATGTATAATTTCCCCGTGGCCAGAAGCAAACCTAACTTGAATCGGATCGCGCGCATTACAGCCGATCGGCGATTTAATGAACTCGTGACTGAGTGTATTACCGGGTGGTTTACACGGCAGCGATTAAAGCAACCGGGGCTTTCGATTCGATCACAAAGCGAGCTCTCGATGCTCGCCTGGCCGGACGTTAAACCGTGTCGTTTATAATGAGCCACGGGCGGCGATTAATTAGGCTCGCGCCATATTGCCCGGGCAATTAATAAAGCCTCATCGGTGATTATGAGCAGAGAAACACGGGAGGGAGGACATTTTGTAACTGGGACTGCCGGCCGTATCTCCACGGTCGATCAAATTACGTTAGAACAGCCACTGTGTGGCCCTGCTTGCCATCGCATAACATCTGTTTGTTCGATAATTCATGAACACGGTCGCGAGACATTCTGCTCTCGGCCCTTCACCGCCGTTTATTTTTTTTCTTCCTTTTCTTCCTTTTCGCTCTCCTTCCTTCTTCCCCGCTTCTCGTTCCTCTCCCCTTCAGGCGCGTCAGCCTCTTTTAACGAGCATTAACTTTTAAAATCGCTAGTGTGGTTTCTCGGTTCTCTTTTCGCGGGAAATTGATTGAAGGGAGAAGCCTCGGCAGCGGATGCGCGAGCGGTCGCTAGATTGCGACGTTCGTGCGTTCGCGGTGAATTTTGAAATTACACGGAATGCGTATGAAGCGTAGGGAACAGCTCGGGTAAAATATTGGTTGCAACGTGGAGAGCGTTAGGCGCGTCTCCATCTAGATATCGCGTGTCTCCAGTTCTTTCTTCGTCGCCTACCTTTCGTAAAACGAGCAATTGCCCATAAAACTCAGTACGCTGATCGAGAACCTGTTTGCTGAATTCGAACGTCGTTTTCCTGTC